CATGGCCAGTGGTATTTTTCCTTGCGACGTTTCACAAGAAATTTAGATTCACTCCTAAAGCTCTTCCCCCACTTTCCCAGGTATCCAAGATGCTGCAACAGGTGAGGCACAACATGTTGTGGCATTGGCACTCCAAGGTCACGAGGGGTTGGACAGCATGCTCAAAGGCATGCGGCACTATGTATTTCAAGGTTGTGCGCGCGAGCTCCAGAAACAGCATGGAGTCCGCAAGCGGCCGAATATCTATGGATTGGTTCGCCTTGCCATTCGGCAGCTTCGTGATCTTGAATGGGTCCCAATGGTATCTGACAAAGATGGGGGTTTTGTCTTAGTGAGGAAGGTGGACCTCATTGAGGCGCACAAGAACACCCTAGCTGGGACAAGCTATGGAGAGATTTCCCCACCCCGGCTACATGGGAAAAATATTACTTCTGAGTATTTATTGCGAAGTCGTCAAGCAGGTGTCTGAAGACGACCCCACGGTGGATGGTCCATCCCTCTTGCAATCCTTGGAGGGCGGCGAAAAAAAAGGTCACGGCCAAAGTGGGAGAAACATTGAAGACGCACAAGGCTCCAGGCGAAGTTGCATTCAGGATCCTGCATACTCGCAGGCATCATTCGTTTCGTGGCCTGGGGGAGCATGGCTGTCAAAAACGATCAGGGACCAAGTAACGCACAAACCGTACATGTTGGCGACCACAGGCCAGCTGATCGAGGTTCTGAGCACGACACGACTCGCTCATAACGTTGCCTTTCTCAGGCTTGACGTGCGGGACCTCTTCATGCCTGGAGACCCGGCCACACCCGTGTCATGTGCAGAGCGAGTGGCTCCCCCTCAGCTGAAAAGCCTGCTGCTCGCCGCATGTCGAAGTTCCGTCTAGACCACCAGTACACCACAGGCGACTTCTTCCCTGACCAGCTCTGGAAAGTCTCGGGCATGGGCATGAACTACTCTGGAGACTGATCAGACGCAGGATTTCACGATTGTCTCGAAGGGGATGGTGTCGACAGCGGTTCGTGGCTGAACGAGCACAGCATTATGTTGCACTGCCGCTGCAAGGATGACACCCTCATCATTGCGGAAGGGGGTGATGCGGAGCTATTGGCAGTGCCATCAGTGGCTAGCAAAACGGCACGTGCTTCACATGTGAGGTGGAAGGCAATTCTCTGCACGGGGTGGATGTCCTGGACATCCATATTGTTAAGGGCCCTCGGTTTCAAAAGCATGTTTTTCTGGATTACGGGCCGCTCTGGAAACCCACCAGCTTAGGGGCCCCATTGTCATGTAATTCATCGCACCCCGTGCCTGTGAACGTGGCGTGGCCGCAGGCCGAGCTTGCCAGGCTAGACGGGCACCTCCTCGAGCGCGGCCATCGGCGCCGGGGCCCGCGGCGTGTTCCTCGACAGGCTTCTGCGATTCGGCTTCCCAAAAGCGTGCGTCAACGATCTCAGCGCGTGGCCGCCCACACCCGACAATGAGTGCCAGTCCAAAGAGGCCTGGGGCTGGAAGATGTGGGTGAAGTGCCCCTTTGACCCCGCGTGGGCCCGCGTGTGGATTTCCAACATGTTCCATGAATTTCTGAGCAATCCCCTGGCACAGGACACATGCAACAGGATGTTCGGCAAGGTTCCCGAAATCCGTCCTGCATGTGTGGTATCGACCCCACCGTTTGTTCAGGTGGTGCAGCGCGCAGCAATGTAATGGAGGTTGGTTGGGTGCGGCGATTGTGGAGAGCAATCGCCATATATGATATGCCCAATTGTGATGCGTTTACACACACATTTGATGTTACCATTCCCATCATGCTGGAAGAATACCCGGTATCCAAAAATCGGCATTTGGACCGCCAAGTTTTTTGTAGTGTACCCGTAATATTCGTCACACCGTGATGCCATGGATAGCCGTACCATTTCCGTAGAAACCTTGCTGTATGCGATATTGGCCAGAGTCGGTGATGTTGCCGTTGTAATGGTCAGCATCGTCGGTGTTGACGTCGTAGTTGGCAATGGTGCTGTCGGTACCGATGTCGTCGCCGGCGCCGGTGCAACCCATGATACCAACGCTGGCGCAAGCGTAGGCGCTGGTGTCGGCAGATTCGCTGGTATCGTAAGTAGCGTCATTGCTAACGTCGTAGACCTAGCGTTAGTGCCGGCGTAGGTGCGGGCGTTGACGTTGGCGTCGATGCTGGCGCTGTTGCTCGTGTAGGCACTGTTCTGGACGGTGACTGCCTGGCAGGTTCTGGACGGGGCTTGCTTGGCAGATTCTGCACGGGGCTTGCCTGGCAGGTTCTGGACGGGGCGTGCTTGGGAGTCGTCGCAAGTGTCGGTGTTGGCGTTGGTGCTGGCATAAACGCAGACAGTGTTGCTGACGCAGCCGCCGGCCTGGGAGTTGGTGATGGTGTAGTTGTCGTAAGTGTTGGTGAAGGTGTTGGTGCCGGCGTAAGCGCAGACGTTACTGCCGACGTAGGCGCCGGCCTGGGATTTCTCGCAGGCGTCGGTG